TTCTGACACATGCACAATACAGGAGGATCCACTATAACGCCTGTGCTGAAACACTGGCTTTGGGCTCTTAAAAATACAGGGAAAAAGCAGTCTCTTGCTAATCACTGGACTGCACTATTTTACATTCTGAAATGCAAGTTTAGCTCTTCTGTCCATGATTGCTTGGGAGACCTTTGAACTTTAATTAAGTTGAGGCTAACTGAACCTTATAATTGAATTGCTTGCTTGATTAGGCCTGATTGGGCCTGAATCTCCACTCAATCCATGCTTTAAAAACCCTGGCCATCTGTGTATTGGTGCCTGGAAATGTAACAAGCAGAACTCTGTTTAGTCTCCCCAACTTGCTTATTTCATGGTTGCTTCCTTATTCCAGACTAAACAACTGCTAATACAGTAGGTGTCGAATGACCAAACATATAAAGGAAACAAGGTGTTGTTCTGCAGAATACTGTATTTCACCAAGTTACAATTTAATGCCCCCATGACCCTGTATTTCGTAAAGCAGTTACAAAGCAGATGGATGGACAGTTAAATGCCTCCTTTAGAAGACTGGTTCTGTACTGTCCACTTTCCATGGCTTTTCCTCAAAGGAGATGTGCTGTCTGCACATGCAGCATGAAGTGTAAATTGCTACTGACTGTGTCCAGGCTACATTTTCTCAGGCGTAGCTGAATCTATCCATCTTTTCCATAGTATCACTGAAATCTGTGCAAGATTTTATATCTCTTATTATTACACGAGGATAAACTGAGACACAGCTGCAATACCCTACAGCTGCCACCCACCTCAGTTAGACCCGAGAAAAAGCAGTGAATTTATTTTGAAATGTCATACAGTAACTTACAATGGAAAGGACGAGTAACAAAACATGAATCTATAAATTAAAAATAGAACATAAAATATAACAAAACACTTGGATTATTTCCAAATATTTCTCTCAGGAATACACTAAAGCATACAACCAAAATTTGAAGCAGCATTCAATCTTTTACTAATTAAAAGGCTTTTATTTGTAATTCGTCACATACCATACTTCCCTGAAAATAATTTAGAAATGAAGGAATACTCCTACACATTTCATACTTCTTTCTGGAGACTTATTTATTTTTATAACCCATTACAATCTGGATTCCTGGTTTAAAGCCTACAGCTGTGATTATGATATTATGGAAAATATAGTTTAACTTAATAATAACATTTTACGCTAATCTAATTAATTTGTTTTGAATGTGTGAGAAGAATCAAGCATAAAACCTATGAATTTGTTAAATATTGTATTGTTTCATAAAAAAAAAACTGTCAACCAATGAATATGTTTGAGTTATCTTAGTGAACAATACTGCCAATGTTGGAACAATAACTATAACATGTTTCCTCACATTTTGAATATTCTGGTCAATCTAAATAGACATCCCAGTTAAAACTGGAAACAAAATATAGAATCAGATCAGAAAAGAAGATGCTTCATGTGAATATCACAAGAACTAGAAGTAAGAAACAGCCAAGTTTTGCTGTGCTTGGTGAAATTAAAGGCTCTTGATTTACTTCAGGTAGAAAAAAAGGTTTTGCATCACTCTAAACTCAAATAATTTAACACTGTATAACCTTCAATTTCTTGCATGTGAAGATGAGGCGTTGCTGTACATGATCTCTACAGCTGCAGATCACTTTCACAATCTGTGGTAATTTTCACAGCTACACAGCACTCACAGCTCTTTCCTTTAGCTGACTAAATAAAATACTACCCCCTTGAGAGCTATTCTAAGCAACAGTCATTTCACGTAATTATTTCTGCATGTTACACATGAAAGTAGTTTAGAAATATTCTGCTAGTGGCATTGTGGGAAAAAAAAACGGTTCTTTGGTGCTGTCAAAATTACACATCAAAAAAGAAATACTGGTAGCAGTGCGAGTGGCAGAGTGGTATCCTGATGCCTTACTGTATGTGCCCACGCTATCCTGTCACTGTCACTCTAATCCCTAAGTGGGAGATATTGGGGGGGAAAAAAGGTGGAAGAGCAGCAGTTCGATCATTTTCTGATTTTTCCACAACAGTGACTTCTTGTAGTCAGCTGTGTTGACACTGTCAGCTGAGTGCGCCCTCACCTCGTACCACACATCCACTTCCTGTCTTCGCTCCTTATTATCGCCCAGCAGGGAGCACTTCATCGGCGTAGTGTCACCCTGTTGCTGTTTGTCACGAGCACATGCCTTCTAACGCGAGCTGTCACTACTACTCACTGATTTTGGCGTGATTTTCTGTTGCCCGTCATTTTCATTCCTCTCCTTATACAGACTGCCAAAATGTATCTGTGTGTAAACGATCATTCCTGCATTTACCTGTTGACTTACTGCACCATATTTTAAAGTCCCTCTTCGCCTGCCTTGCTCACACTTTGCCAATTTTAGAAACCTCTCATACTCATGTAAACTGGCCCAGTGAATACAATTGGTTGTGCTGTTAATTGTCCAGAACCCAGATCTACAATTTGGGTTTCTGAAATGATCAGCATTTGCACATTCTTGACTTTACTTTTACTCCAGCTACAAGTTCTTTATTATTAAAAATGCAAATCCCCAATCATTAGAAAATGTCATACAGTGGAAAGAAACTGCATACTTTAATTAAACACCAAAGCCGTTACTTGCCATGTCCTGCATATTGTTTTTAGTTATTGATGTTTGCAGTGAAGACTGTCTTTTATTTCAAGTTTAGAGAGGAAAAGTGACCATCCAAAGTTTCTTTCCAGGGGGTGAGCAGAGAGACAATTCAATCCTTGTAGCTCAATAAGGAACAGATTCCTTCAGACACACAAAACTGCTCAACAGGGACCTGGATCCCAGTGTTCTGACAGACAACAGGAGGCCTTTTCAGTCTATGGGAGTTAAATTGCCTTGTCTGTTTGCAAAGATAATATTAGTTCACTAGGGGATGAAAAAAGCTTTCCCACAGAATACGTTTCAGCCCTGTATTTAAATAACCAGAGAAAGCTGACCTCCAGTTTGAGTCACTGGAATCTAATTCTGCGTTATGTGATTTCACTCATTTTTTATTTGGTGAAATGAACATCAAATCACGTGTAGCACTCATAATTGAATGCAACTGTAATATACTTGTATGTATAGTAAGTAGGATAAAGTTAAACACAATTCCTGATTGACATAAATATCAGAAAAGGAATCAAGTCATATATTGTTATAAGATTTAATTTCAGGGTAGTATTGGATAGTATTTTTTTATTACAACACTGAAAAAAAGAGCTTTTAATATGTTTTCTAAGTGAGTATGGTATGTTTTTAGGCAGTGTAGGTGATTTGGTAGTATTTAGTTTTGCAAATATGTAGCAACCCGTTTTTAGTGAAACACAAAGCATTCTACTTTAGTGAATCTACTGTAACAGTTTGATGCATTCACTATTGTGCAATACTGTGAAAGGATTTAACGCCCATAGTACCTTGTTCCAAATCGGTTTCATTGCAATTCAATGTTATTTATGACAGTTTTCTTTGTGACCATAGCTATAATTCTGAACTTAAGGCTAAAATAATGCTTCAGGTAAAGCTGTACAGCTAATACTTTTCCCTAGAAGTATAAATCTGCAGAAATAAACAATGTTACTAGCAAATGGCACTTACATATAAAGAGCATTGCTTTAAAACCTAACTGTTAAGCATGGATACTCACCCAATAACAGCACAGCTGATCAGAGTCCCCAGAAAGGCATATGTTAACACTGAGCCAAAGTTGTGGAAAAAAAACTTCTGGAAAGAACAATAAGAACCATGATGAATTGACCTGTGGGCTGAGCCATCTGTTGGCCTGTGCTCTGTGTGGTATCGCACAGCACTCAAAGACGGCTCACTCCAAAAAAAAAACATTTAATTTACCCAACTGTTAGAGCCCACCCCTTGGTTTTCTTCCAACAAGACATGTCCAACATGTAAGCCATGAAGAACAGTTCTGGTAAACGCTCAAGAGGGAATCTGCCTCAACTACAAAGTAGATCAAAACAATTTGCTCTTTTGTGTATTATATTTTGTATATGCATATAAAATAAAGAGTCACTTGACAGCAAATGTAAAAAAAAAACTTACTTACTTGATTTAAACTATATGCCCCATAAAATATGATTGGTGGTAGCAACAGATTGAAGAAAACTTCAGGGTCAAATATCATCTGCCAAGAGAAAAAGAGCCACATGACTTCAACGCTGTGCCACAGCTGCAAGATCTGTATGTTTTAACCCAGGTAAAGTATGAAGCTTTACAAACGACCTTCAGTGTGCAAGGCAATGCTAATAGCTGCACAGAAAAATGTACACAACTGATAACTATCCTACAGGCATTTTTAGAACATAAGGTTTCACTTACATTGCAAAAACGTAATGCTTTGAGCTTAAGAAAACGTTCTTACTTTAATGTACACTATCCGACAAACAATTTTGCTCCTGAAGCTAAAGATAAAAGATCTCTAGAGCTTAAAACTGAAATTTAGATTTTGACAATGTTAACTCTTTAAAAATGTAAAATAATGTTCTGAAATTAAACTCAAAAGGAAAAAATACATATGTATGAAAATATATCTTTCTGTGATTTTCCTGCTTTTGTTTTGAATATTGGTAATGCAGACACCAATAGCATCTTCTTAAAACACCATTATAGTAATGGACTCCCGAAGATCTAACAGTATTGCTTGAGACTGTAACCTCATTAGTACAGGAAAACAATATCATCTAGACAACATTGTTTTAGATGAGTGTTCTGTGCATTTGACAGCTGGATTGACGTAACTGATATAGACTATGTAATCAAAGAATGTGCAAAAAGCAGCTATGCTTACTTTCATTAACCGTGAATGATCTACTGTAAGAACAACAAGGTATATACGGGTATCTCCATATAACACCTTAGCTCAAGTAAATAGAATCATATCATTACATGCTACAGAGAATTATGATGTAAACTGGATAGCCGGATATTCAATTAAAAAGTGTAATAAAAGTGAACAATGTCTCCACACAACAACAAAAATAGGATTTTGACTAGAATACTACAAACACAATGAAAAACAAATATTAAAATATATGGAGCACAAAGGTACAGTAAAAATCCTAATTGTAAAAATTGAACCACTTATTTTGAGTTATGACAGCTTTTTCTGATAATGGTATCTCAATCTAGAGGAAATAAAATAGAAATAAATTATGAATAGATTAATCATACATTAATTCAGCAAATGTAAATTCTACTT